AAGCTAAATTTCGATATATATATATATATATATATATACTTACATACAAGATTAAAAATATGTAAATGCGCGACTAATATAGCTAGATTAAAGGCCAAACTTAAATTAGCGACTTTGCTATTAATAATTAAATTTTACCGCCATGTGCCTTTAAGGTATTTGTCTGCACAAGGTCGATAGAAGATTCGAATTCGCTTAGGCCTTTAAAGTATCTTTCAATTTTATTTTGCAAAGCTGTTGGTAGTCATAAGGCATTATCAGTTTATAGAAAGATAAATAATATAAATAGAGAGTAAAGATCGTTGAAAAATTTGTAAAGATGCTTGAGACGTTGTCACTTCATCATGCCGCCCGAATTATATAGAAAAATCGATTGATACTGCAAATACTTATAAAATCGATTGTTTATACTGCCCCTAAGTGCTCTATAAGAAATATTCCTAATTGAATACCGATGCTCTTTCAATTTCGTAAATAAGGACTGGTAAAACCCAAATGAATAAATTAGGTTTTGATTAAAATCAGTAGATTCTAAAAAGGAACCATGGTCACCCTGGTTCGGGCAAAGTAACGAACAGTTGATAATTGAATTTTCCTACAATGATACTAAATAGCATCACAACACCAATGAATTTCACTTAGCCCTGCCTCCGCAAAAAGTATTCACATCCAGAATGGACTATCTTTTCGATCTCCAATGGGTTTCATCAGCATCCACAAAGAAAGCAAACCCTGACAACTGGATATAGTCTCTTAACTAATAATGACAGCAAGTCGCTATATTACCTGGGTTGTCAGTGGGACTGTTGACGAAACCCGGGCAAGGTCAAAACTTCAATAAACTCTGGATGATAATAACTTTTGGGAGGCGAGGCCCAGTGAAATTCAATGGTTACACGAGGCATTTTAATATCATTGTAGTAGAATAAAACTATCAGCCCACCATTAACTTATGCAACCTAGGATGACCACAGCTTTTATTCAAAACCTACTGATAACATCGAAACTTTGGCATTATGAATATAAGTAACGAAGTAAATTGTAATCACAAGATACAAATTTGCCTCATCAACAAACACACAACAAATGAGAGATATGTAAGAGGCCTGACTTGTCTTGCAATTCAGGTATCCTCTTTGACCAATTAGCACTAGTGGAAGTATGGCGTAGAAGTAATGTGTCGAAATTAAATGACTGTTGGGAAATTCAATTATCACAAATATAACAGTCTATAAGAACAGGGGTGATCATAGCGCACATACAATAAAGCTTAGTGGGCAAAAAATACTCACCAGGCACTGGTGTTGAGCAAAGGACAGGCGAAGGACCAACAGTGAATATATTAATCGCCTCTTGAGGTCGGTCGACGTCTAGTACAAGAACATAACTACCTGCAGTAGTTGGGGTAGTTGCATAGTCCCTGTCCTGGCCAGTTGAGCGGGAAGACATGTAACAAGTGGTATTAGTGCTGGTGGCACTAGAAACCGGAAGTAATCTAACTGGGTCCATATGGTTCAAGTTCTCGGTAGAGTAAAAACGGCTGACACTATGGGGTTGCATAGCACAGATCCAGAGAAGATTGGAGACTCGATAATCGGGAGAACCACCAGACTGAGGTATCAAAATAATGGATCCAAATAATGTCAATAAAAATCAGCGTAGGTGTGAAAATAAAGGCAAAAACAATAGAGAAGCAAAGCACTGAACCTTAATTAAATTTTATTCGACCTAGTGATATCTTTTAACTAGCAGAAGATCCAGTTTAAAATAGATTTAAATCGTTCAAAATCTACATTTTACGAGCTGAAAAGGCAAAAGAACCTGAAATGGATTTGGCAAAAATATAAAATTATACCTGATCTAGAAAATCAGATCGCATATCTTAAAAAATCACTATGGTTAGCTCTAAATGGAGCTTCAGAAGCACAACACATCTCGCAAAAATCGAATGGACAATGTTGTCTTTGCAACTTGATCTGAGCGATAGGGAGATTTGGTCGAACAATGTGGTTTTGATCGGTTATAACTATGCGCTAAGAATGACACCTCTCAACGACGATGTCAGAAAACAGTCAGCTAGTGTAACAAATTAACTACCCAATCATCAAAATTATCATGACTACGGTGGCAAAGGACACAAGATAAGGTATGTTTTACAAGATCCCTGTGTCGCAACGGCCAAGTTATTAAAATGAGGCTAAGCCGACACCATACAACTAAAGGGCCATATCATGTTGGCCCTCATATAATATAATATCGAATGAATACTTTAATTAATGCGGCTAAGGGGATTTTGTGAAAACCATTGCTGAAATAAATGAAGAACTAGTTTTTATCCAACACTTTTAATTCTGCTGCTGGAATAATCGAGCACTCGACTGGAATGCAACTTAACCGGCCCGATACCATCAGCAAAATAGCCTGTGAAACAAACAGAACCGTCTGCTGAAGATCCCTATCCAGCATCTAAATCCGTCAGTAAGTTGTTATTAGAAGTGTAAAAGTAGAAATAAACTATAGCTAAAATTATGAAGTACAG